GAAGGACGGCTCCTACCGAACCCGTGACCAACTCACTTCCAAATGGAGCCACATCAACAAAAAAGTACGAAAATTTATGGGAGTATACGAGGAATGCTCCCGGTCCCGGAGGAGCGGCATGAACGACGCCGATGTTCTCCGCCTTGCCACGACCCGGTATCAAGACGACGGGAACCAAGGCAAGGTGCCCATCGATCTTTGGGGGATTTTGAGTCGTTCCCCGAAGTGGCAACAACTCAACAATCCCGACGGCGGACCGTTCCGGACCGACGGCGGATCATTCCGGAAAAGATCCACCGTTGACGCCGAGGTTGAGGTTGACGATACTATCGATTCTACCGATCAAATGCCTCCCTTCAATGTTGCGGGTTCCGATGACGAAGACCCCATTCCACGGCCGATCGGAAGAAAGAAGGCAAAATCCATTGCCTCTGGTTCGGGAGGGTCCGCCTCTTTTTCCGCTTCTCCCCGCGACGAAATCGGCCTGGCAATGGTTGAACAACTTCGGGCGTTCAATCTCCAGGAACAGGAGAGGTTGAAGCTAAAGGAGAAGGAGTTGAAGATAAAGGAGCAAGAGACCGAGATGCAATTCATGCAAACCGACCCCGAAACGTTGTCGGAATTTGGCCGAATGATCTACGAGCAAAGAAAGAGAGAGATCAAGGAAAAATATAAATTACCTTAGTTTTTTTTATTATTGTATCGTTTTTTTAAATTATTGTCACTTTTTTATTTAATTAATGTATTTTTTTTATTCGTGTTTCAATTTAATTAAATAATAAATTAATTTGAATTTATAAATTTAAATTTAGAAGATGTATATTTAAAAATGTAAAAAATAAAGGTTTGAAGCCCCAGTTTGAAGCCCCGAGGCTTCAAAACCATTTCTCGTGAATTTTGGGTGTAAGTTAAAGCTGACGTGGCAGAGAGAGAAATTTTGAAGCCCCGGTTTGAAGCCCCGGGGCTTCATGACCATTACCAGTGCTCTTAGAATTTATGTTTTAATGTTATTAAAGTTAATTTATAAGAGCATCCCCAACATATTAGCCAAATATTAAATTTTGGACAATCTAGTTGTTAAAATAGTGTTTTTGCATCTCCAAGGGTCTAAGTTATACGTAGTAGAATATAAGCTAAAATCGATTTTACATCAACTATAAATAGATGATACAGGAGGATATGCTTAGAATTAAAAATTAATAAATTAATTAAAAAGAAGAGTTGTTTTCTGCATTACATTTATTTTGTCCTGTAGTCCCTCCATTTGTTCCCGCAAAATTTTTCTTTGTTTTCTATTGTTCTTCCGTAAAATTTGGTTATTTTGATAAGAGTAAATTTCATAAAAAGTCTCAATTTATAGGTCGTTTTACATATTTAGTTCCTATATATAAAATATTACTAATTTAATCCTCAATTATTATATCATTTTTCATGAATGGTCCTTCGTTAACGTTTTTTGTTAAGAACATGGATAAAATTATATATCCATACTTCTCTCTCTCTTCAATTAAACTTTCTCCCTCCTTTCGTACTCTTTTTCAAACTCGTTGCTGAGTTTGAAGCTCTAAACCCAGAACTGAAAGGATCATTCCTCTTTCAATTATTAGTCTTCCTGATAGAACCTAAAATCAAAACCAATAAGTTTTATGGATGATTTTATCAGTTAGTCTCAAGAAATTGCAAAGAAAATAAACATTAAAACTCATCCATGAAGGTTACTGGTTTCGAATTTGGGTTCCACCACTTAGACAGACAATTGATAATTTCGGTTTTGGGTTCAAAGCTTCAAACTCAGCAACGGGTTTGGGAAAGGAGTGCGAGTGGAGGGAGAAAACTTAATTGAGGAGAGAAAAGAGTGAATTTACAATTTTATTCACGTTCTTAACGGAAATGTAAACAAAGGACAATTCGTGGAAATGAATATAATAATTGAGGACTAAATTAGTAATATTTGATATGTAGGGACTAAATATGTAAAACGACCAATAAATGGGGACCTTTTATGGAATTTACTCTTTTGATAAATATAAGTACAAAATGAAATACAAAAAAAATATGAAATGAAGATTTAAATTAAGTATAGAGTTCCCAAAAGAGCAACTTTTAATGCTGAGTGGGAGGAGATCTATTTGAAAACAGCCTCTTTACTTTCAAGTAGGGGTAAGGTTTACGCAAACACACCTTACCCAAACCCTACTCTTGTGGGATTCAACTAGGTTGTTGTTGTAGCATTGCGAGAGAGATGTTCTGAAAATGTCTTGAGCTTAGAGAGATTCTGTTGCGTACATTTGTGCAATTAAAGATATATGTACGTGTCTAGGTAAGGAATAGGGCGAAGACTGTCCGCAATGACGTTAATCCTTTCCCTATCTAGGTGAGGTTACACTAAAGGTTTGCTCTTAGTTCCTTTTTATTTTTCGCGGTGATGAATGCTTTATCGCATGTTCTCTAGGATGAGATCCCTTAATACATGCTTATACATGCTTTTTGCTGACAGTCGATGAGACTTGCAAGTGACTCAACGACAAGTTGGAGATGTGGTGTCATTCCTAAGACTCGAAAGATTTTAGACTAGGCAGGACCAAGGCCGAGCACCTTGAGTATGGTTTTAATGATCGGGTGATAGAATTTGAGGTGGAAATTGGGATTGATTCACACCCAGTGCCTATGGACTAATGGATATACGTTTTGTAATATGAGCTCGGTCATTCAGGCAGATTGAGAGATATATGGAGATGTTCAATGTGAGCTTTTTGGGCATTGTAGAAGTTGGCGTCAGGAGTTCTATGCGGTAAGAAGATTTTTGAAAAGCTTAAAGGGGTGTTTTATCGATCTATATAGTTAGACCGACTATGCTTTATGTTGAAAATTGCGGGACGATTAAGAAAATAAGCTCTATCAATTGCATCTGACAGAGATGTGGATATTATAGTGGATGTGCTACGGAATGAGGTTATTCAAAGGTGTGTGAGACTGGCATCCTTTGGTACACAGAATTCAAACTATGTAATTAGAATTGAGGACTTTAATTCCAATTTTGGTGTTTAGTGACATAAAAATTATGTTGATTTAGAATTGATAGTGCAAAAATAATCTGGAATTGGTTGATTCAATTTTATAGAATTAAATTTCATGAAATTTTAATTTCAATTCAATTTTAATTTCACGAATTCCGTATACCAAATAGACCCTGAAGGTTTTTCTCAAACAAGACCATAAATCATTCAGAACCAGAAATCCTAATAATGATATAACACCGGAAGAAATACTTATTTAATCGGTGAAATTTTGGAGGGCGGACCCAGGTTGGCAAGCGACGGCGGCCGGACTTGGCTCGACGGTGGAGAACGGCGGAAGGGCGGTGCAGCGCAGCGGCGCCGGCAAATCGGCAATTCCCTTCAGCCAGAAAGTGTAGAATCTCTTGGCAGGGGATAAAGCAAGCGGCTCCACCTTCACTTTACCGGTAACGCCCTTGAAGATGCCGGAGCCGCCGGTGACGGCCAGGTAACTGCTCTCGTAGGTCAGGTACGGCCCTTGGACGGACACCTGTCCGTAATCTCCGAAGTAGAAGCTGAAAACGGCCTCGAAACGGTCTCCGTTAGTTTTGTCGTCGTGACTGATCACGAAGCATATTCCGTTAGTTATTCCCAATCTTGTTTGCATGTCCCCGCTGTAGAGCTGCACCAGAAAGCCATTATTACTCCGTAACTCATTGTTACCCCCAATATTTAGTGAATATTACAAAGAATAAAAAAACATTTATTTAATATTTACCTAATGATCAAAATTACCCAATATATCATAAAAAGATGAAACTGGATGAATATATTATAAGGACCAAGTACTATATTTCTTTATTTGAATTTATCAAAAGTTCACAAATAGATAGTGAATATGTTTAATAAAACTACCACCAAATAAAAGTAAATGAAATACTTCATCCCTCTCATATCTATATTATTATATAAATATACAATATAAAAGTTTGATATGTCAAAACGACATTTCAAAATGAATGTATCGATATTAAATTTACGTAAAATTTCATAATTTAAAATATTTTTTTCATAACATAGGGTCAAAGATTAAAAATATTGACCATAAAAGTCAAAGTACGAAGAAAGACATGGGAGTAATATAATGGCTAAGAATCTTGTGATCCAACGGCATCATTGTATGTGGCTCTTTCAAATTAGAAGTCGTAGGTTTAGAACACAAGTGAGGGCAAAATTGGTTCTTTGTTCGGAGTAGATTAAGAAATTATATTTCAACAAATACTAAGTACATGGTAAAATCTATATAATCCATCCGTCCCTAAAAAAGACTTATTATTTCCTTTTTCAAATGTAAAAAAACTCTTTTTCTCTTTATAAGAAACTTTAAATGACTCGTATAATCTTTTTCTTTCCTCTACATTACTTTCAAATTTCTACGTGACAATTTTACTTTCTTTAAACTTTGTATCAAGTCTATTTTTTTGAGACGAGAGGACTAATTAATAATGTTCAAAAATAATATTTGACCAAAGAAAGAAGACTTTCTCTATAAGAAAGGATTCCGATTTGGTGCATATGATTAAAATCAATCAAAGCATTATTATTTTCTTAAGCCAACAATTAAAAAATAAGCAAAGATGGATTAATGCAAATGAAGAAGCTAGGTAGAACAAACCTTGTTGGTGAAGGAGACAATATCACCAAGAGAATTGACTTTGTTGAACATAAGCCTAAGATAAGCTGGGCTGCCTCGATCTTCCTCATCAATCTCATAAACATTAAATTCTTGAACTTTCACTGCATAATTTTCAACCTTTATTTTTTAATGGAATGATTAACAACAAAAAGAATTGAATAATATCATGCTCCCTCTCTCTCCAACACATTGTGCATTACTTTCCCCATCTTAAAATGTTCATCCAGATTAATTTTTTTGAATCAAATTAGATAAGTTTAATCATCAATTACATAAATTCTACACTATATAAATGTAATAAAATGACAATATTAATAAATACGTAGTAGTTATTTAATTGATGATTAAAAAAATTGACTACAAAAAATCAAACTTGACAAATATTATAAGATGGAGTCCATATAAAATTTGCCATTTTAAAATTATGTTTCAAATGAATCTAGGGACATAATTTTCATTACTTTATCCACAAATCATAATTACTCCGGTATAATATAGAAGAGTAATTTCCAATAAATGTCCTCTATAATTTTTCATATATATACTATCTACGCTTCACAAATATTATATTCGTAGTTCTTTATTAATAGAACGGTATTTTCAAATATATGTTTTCCAAATATAATTTCAAAAAAAAATATATTGCCCGGGAAGTAATTTCAGCTTGTTCGGAGTGGAGTGTGATATGAGATTTTTGCACGTACTAACGACAGTCACACACTCTCATTTATAGTTTCATTTAACTCTTTTCAGCGTATTATCTAAAATATACTCCATGTATCTTAAATTAAAATTCCTAGTTGCTATTCACAGGTCAAACAAACTTTAGTATCCTTATACTTCCTTCGTTCTTAAAAATATTTCTCCTTTCATTTTTTCCACTTCTAACAAAACACTTTCACTTTCTATTAAAAAACCACTTTTACCCTTACTTTTTCATACACTACCTATCACATCATACTTTTTTTCTAATAATCTATCCATCACATCTTACCTTTACAAATCACATCAGGGACAAAATTGGAAATCAACTACTCCTTCCGTTCCACAAAATCCTTCCGGTTTTGACTTTCGGAAAAAATAAGGAAATTTTAATTTTGGTTGACTTTCCAATTTTGCCTCTGATGTGATGGGAAAAAATAAGATGTGATAATTTGGTTATTAGTGAAAAAATATGATGTGATAGGTAAGGTATGAAAAAGTAGGAGTAAAATAGGTTTTTAATAAAAAGTGGAAGTGTTTTATGGAAAGCAAAAAAACGAGAGAGGAAGAGTTTTGTGGAACGGAGGGAATATAATTTAACACTTCTTTAATTTTGCCCCAAATCAAAATGAGAAGTCTTTTTGCAAACGGAGTGAGCACATTTTTATTCGTCATTTGATCAAACAAAATAATTCACCAACTCCATAATATTAAAAACACAATGAGAATAGTAATTAACCAATAACAAAAAAAAATCAAACCGGAAGAGAGATTGGGCCGGCGGTGGAGTTGGGTCCGGAGGCCGAGTGACCCTTTGACGGTTGGAGTCGCCGCCGAAGCGGCGGTGGGCGGGAAGCGTAAGACGGTTCTGCTTGCTCCAAGTGGCTGCAATTTTGGAAGCTCAACGCCGGAAAAAACGAGAGATGGGTGAGAAGCGGCCGATAATAATAATGAAACCATACTGATCGAAACGGTGGAATAATAATGCTAAAAAAAAATAATGTGTGAATCGGAGATGGATCAATTCAAATGAAATGGTGAAGAAATGGGATTTTATGGAGTTTGGGTGCAGTGAAAAATACAATGAAAAGTCTCTTGGAATGATCTGTGATTTGTTTAGTATTCCTATGACTTTCAAATCTTATTGCATGTAACACGGACATACGGAGTGTTGTTTAATATAATGGCTTGCTTGCTTGCTTGCTTAAGTACTCCATAAATTAATTAATTAACCAATGTTTTGACTCTTTGTTTTTATTGTGAGAGCATTATTAGGAGTAAAGGAAGAGACATAATTTAGTTAATTAAGGGAGGGAGAGTAGTATAGATGAGAAGAAATGAGAGAATGATACTCCCTCCGTCCGGAAATTTTTTTCACGTGTTGACTTGGCACGCTTATTAAGGAATAGTAAAAAAAATACAAAATTTTCAAAAATGCACGTACTATAAACTTTTAAATCTCCTTTTATTATTAAAAAAGTATTAAAAAAGTAGATTTGTGATAAAATAGAAGGGTATTATTGATATTTAGCCTTAAAAAGCATACTAAAAAAGGAAATGGGAAGATTATTTCCGGACGGACCAAAAAGGAAAATGGGAAAAATATTTCCGGACGGAGGGAGTACATTGTTTTGATTGCATATTTTATTCAAAGACCAATTCAATATCAATAACATGCATTACCCAAACATTAGATAAATAAGCTGTTACAGATAGTTAATTATAATATTTTAATTAGTTATATTATTATTTAGTATTTATTTATTATTATTTATTGTTCGTTTAGGGTTTTAGTATGGGCCCGAGCCCATTAGGTCAATTAGGTTATCTACGTTCTTTATATATTGTAACCCTTCGCTATTATTATACAATCAATCAATAATCAAGAATTTTCTTAATCTCTCGTCTCTCTTTTCTTGGAGCCCGGAAACACTCGAAGTTTTCCATCTCTCTTTGCCTCCCCTTTCTTGGAGTCCGAAGACGCTCGAAGTTCTTCCATTGAGAGAACTCGTTGAGAGAACTCGCCAAAAAAACCACAAAAAAACAAAAAAAGAGCTCATTTTTTCCATAGATCGGCCAATTATTGGAGCAATTGGAGCAATTGTTAATTTGTATCAAACCTTTTGCAGCCAATTATTGGAACAATTATTAATTTGTTACTAAGCTTTGTCGTCCAATTTGCCAAAGCTTGTGTGTCGCTGCAATTTTGCTGCAATTTTTTTCGGCGGCACCAGATCGTATCTAGGGATCAATCAGAGACCGCAACTCCGTACCAACCATAGCAACATTTAAGGTATTTTTTGGTGATATTTTTGTGTGGTGGTGTTTATTTTGACAATGGACTCTGCGTTGGGCATACTTTTTGATTTGTTAGAAAAGGTTCTTTTTGGAGAAATTGAGCATGATGAAGGAGTTTGTTTGATTTTTGATCAAGTATATGAAATTATTAAGAAGCTCAGGTCGGTCCGTCATTTTAAAGGTCAAATTGATTATGATGCGCTCGACGTATAAATTTTTTGCTCGGTACAGGATTTGGTTCGTGGACCTCCAATTGTGCCAGGTCAAATTCCTTTTGAGTTATAAATTTTCAGAGCACACATTATGGGTCTTATACGGAAAGTGACAGGTGCATCTTCTCCACCAACTTTCCCCCCAAGATGTGACGGAACCAAACCCGTGCAGTGGTTAGCTACGGTATGTGAGTATTTCCAGTTTTACGAAGTCCCTTTAGTTGATCGTTTGAACTGTGTGACATCAATGTTAGAGGGCTCTGCCTTGGCTTGGTTTAATTGGCGTATGCGTGGTGGCTTGATTGATGGTTGGGAGGATTTTGTTAAAAAGTTCCAAATACGATTTGCTCCGCTACATAATTTGGATTATATTTGTTTTGAGAAGACATCGGAGAAGCCTAGAGACACATTTGTCCACATGGTGGAAAACACCAACACACTCCCCGCCCCGACTGTGGAGGACACAAATAAACTAAAGGAATCAAGCGAGAAATCTTTTATCAATGTGGACAATGATAGCGGGTCTGACGTCGTTGGCAATGATGGTGGTGTTCTTGATGAAGATTATGGTGCAAATATTCAGAGTGACGAGCCACCAAACAAATCATACTCTACATCTTGTGAATTATCTGTCCCACTAAATGCCTCAGTTGGGATGACAATTGCAGAGTATGAAGTTCTAGCATGTGTCGAGAAGGTGGCAGATACAGATAATAAGTAAGTGTACAACCTCAATTCATTTGATGACACCATTAAGTTGTTTGATATTGTCGATGTGGTCGAGACGGAGCACTTGGTTTCACCGAGAGCAACTACATATCCTACGTGCCGCGTCTCCTATGGCCATCACTTTGCTTCAAGAGCCAGGATTTTTGAAGATTCAAAGCATGGACTGCGCCTTTGGTTTAGCATTATCTCTCCAGTCCAGAAGCACGAGTGGGAGCCTCCACCTTGAGGACAAGGTGGTTTTAAGGGGGTGAGAATGTTACAGATAGTTAATTATAATATTTTAATTAGTTATATTATTATTTAGTATTTATTTATTATTATTTATTGTTCGTTTAGGGTTTTAGTATGGGCCCGAGCCCATTAGGTCAATTAGGTTATCTACGTTCTTTATATATTGTAACCCTTCGCTATTATTATGCAATCAATCAATAATCAAGAATTTTCTTAATCTCTCGTCTCTCTTTTCTTGGAGCCCGGAAACGCTCGAAGTTTTCCATCTCTCTTTGCCTCCCCTTTCTTGGAGTCCGAAAACGCTCGAAGTTCTTCCCTATCCCGATACGAATCGTACAAGATTCGTATCATAAACTTTCCCTATCTATTACCCTTCTCTTACAATATCATAATAAAGACTCAACGCCGATCTCGAAAAATGAAAAAATGAAATTGGCTTGGTCCAAAATTTATAGTTTGAGCCCTATTTTATTATTTTAGAATACTTATGCTTCAAAATTAATGATGAATTAAAAAATATGGGGCCCTAAAATTTTAGATGCCCTGTGCGGCTGACCACTTTGCACACCCTCCGGGCCACCCATGAATAAAGTCAATTCATAATCATACATCCAAAAAGTTAGTACTCGATAGTTGTTCTTGAAAAAATCTCACATGTGACATCCGTCCTAGAAAATGTTTCCAATATTGACTAAAATGGAAATTAAAGTAGTATTCGAGAGAATTTCTCTTGTATTTATGATATTCACAATATGAAAATAAGGTTGTATATATAGAAGATCTCACAGGCTAGGACTCTAAATGAAAAATAAATATAGAAGAAAAGAAAATCAATATACATTTGGAAACGTAACAACCATAATAATATATATAGAGAATATATGAAAATATATTCTTACTTTAACACCTCCTCAAGTTAGAGCATGCGAAAGTGAAATGTCCAACTTGAGAATTAGAGCATCCTTAAACTCTTATCCATGATTATTGACTCAACAAAGCATCGTATGGCTCCCAAATAATACAATGTCAATTTTATGACTTTTTCAACAAATAATTGTAATTTCCCAAGAATTTAAATTGTCACTACACTCTACTCCGTATTTTTTTTGTCCTTTAAATTCTTTACAATTTATTTTTTTCGTCCAACTATGACATACTCCTTGTAATATGCTTTAACCATACTATGATACTAAGTATAGTTTCAAAGAATAATTGTTATAAAAATTTGATAGATCAAAAATACATTTTTAATAAATTTAATTATATTTAAATTTATATCATAGATAGATATAATTTTTCTATAATTATAAAGAGTAGCTAAATACATGTACTTTTTTATAACTTGCGTCAAAATTGGTAAAATATGACCAAAATGGGACGCATGGGAATATGTTGCACAATAAACATCGATCATTATCCATCTTCTTATCTTAGTTCTTAAAGGACAATAAAGAAATGGTAAGTATTTTCAGACTTATAATATAAATTCCTTTCTTGAAGGAGGCAATAGTTTAATAGCGCTGAGATAGGAGATATAAATATAATATAAATTTAACCTCCGTTCTACGTATCTGCCAACAAGTCGTTGTAGTATAGTGGTAAGTATTCCCGCCTGTCACGCGGGTGACCCGGGTTCGATCCCCGGCAACGGCGTCCTCTTTTTGTTTTTATCATCAATACGTACTCTTTTTGTTCGTAGAAAAGTAAATCCAATCTACTCAATAATTCTTTTTGGCATCTTCAATCGCGTCTGCAAAACAGAGTTGGAACCCTAATCAATCTGCTTAAGCGCAATTCTCTTCATCACTTAGAACCCTAATTACGCTCTCGAGTAGTCCTTTTCTGAGAGGTAGCTCTATAATCCTATGCTTTTCTTGTTCTTGTATCTAATCGATCGCTTCAGTTCCTCTGAATCCTTCGTTTTCTTTCAAATATTTTAATCTTGCAAAGTTTCCTCGTAGATTAGGGTTTATGTGTAAGCTCTGTGAATTTCGCTTGTCCCTATTTATAGAATCGGAAGATAGGCTGGTTCTTTATCCTTGAATTTATGCCCCTAACCCTAGAAAAATAGCAGCTTTGTTTTTGTTCAATGTTTTTGTGCTTTCCTGCTAAGCGTTTATGATTAACGATTCTCAAGAATTGTTTTGTGTGCTAAATGTTTAAGGTGAGAATTCCACGGTTGAAAGAATGATTTTTGTACTTTATGTTTCTTCAAGAATGACGCCTTTTATTGTAATTGGATTGATGATGAAGTATCTGTGTGTGTTCTGATTTGTTTTTTTATATGAAAGCTGTTCTAATTCTCTTTGGTTGTAGGATCTTCTCATTTTATCATCCAACGTGGGAGTGCTTTTTGTCTCTTTGCTTCAGAATTCTACAATGGTTTTATGATTATTAAGATGTTATGATAATCTTGATCCAACGTAATTCACTTTCCCCGTAGGTAGGATGATTAGATTGTTGAAAGTAAAACAACAACAAAAAGCTAATGAAAATGCAGGCAGAAATGGTCCTGTTAACAGGCAGACTGCTGGAGGGCTGCGTTTGCACAGAGGTCTGACCCTATTACAGGCTTAGTCTGTGTGTGTGTGTGTGTTTGTGTGTGTGTATCGATCCTTTCACCAGCAATATTTGTTATTCTTCATATCATTTCTTGGAGTTTTCTTACGTATGTATGTGGAATTTCCAAACATGGTGGTCTAAGTGACTTTTTTTTCTATATACATAATGTGATTTCACCTTTTTATTTTTATATATTCTTGTAAGAAATATTATGTTTTAAAAGAAATAAAGAACTAAGTAAATCTCTTACCATCTGCAGACATCAGTGAGCTGAACCTACCTAGATCTTGTCCAATTTCTTTTCCCAATGGGAGTGATGATCTGATGAACTTTGAAATCACCATCAAACCAGATGAAGGATACTATCTGTAAGTAATTTTTTTCAATCACTGTTGTTGTTCCTTCCATTTGGGTTGCTGAAGCACTACAAGCACTGTATTCGCATTCCACTTCTGCCATGTACTGGGTAAAATTTATACAAGCAGCCTAAGCACTTGCGTCTGCTTTTGGGCAATAGAAATCCCAACTCTTGATTGAAGCATACTAGATTCATTTTGTTTGGAATTAGTAAACACCAAAGTCAGAAAAACTTGATTACTATGTAAATTCCATTGAAGTGGAGAAACAAAGCACATTTAATAGTAATTAAATGCTCCCTCCGTCCTGTAAACAAATTCATAGTTTGACTTCACGGAGTTGTTAAAAAATGTTGAAAAGTGACAAGCGAGATAGTTTTTTTTTTCGGAAGAGAGGAATGTTGTGAGCTACATTTTCATTTCCTTAAGAGTTAAAGGGAGAAGTGAACTTTTTTTAGGACATACCAATAAGGAAAGTGTTAAAATCTTTGTGTGAAGGAGTACAAAATTTGGCATTTTACTTGGTATCACATAAACCATTAGCAGCCAAAATATGGTCAGGAACAAAAGTTTTTACTATCCAAGGCTTTTTTGCTAACAGCCTAACAGTCAAAACCGAACTCCATCAATCACTTTCATTTTATTTATGCAAACGTTGGAAGACAAAAATGGTATAAGTGTATAGCAAAACAAATGACTTGTACTAATTTCAGCAGGAGCAATCTTACAACCATTTTTTGAATATAGGCTTAAGTGTAGTCTCAATCAGAGAAACATGCCATTCAGATGAACCCCTCATTGATCCCAGCGTAATTATTTCTGAACGTGTCAATGGACTGAATGGAGTAAAAATCATCAACAAACTGTTCTAGTATACCTTGTCTCTTTGAAGCTAAATGGCACAAATAACAAGCTTGCAAGGGATGCCTCTCAATAATTTTTCTCTTAAACTTTCAAGGCACTCTATAAGAGTTATCTTTCTTGCTTCCTATATACATGCATTAAAACTTCCAGAAACATTATTCACATGCATATCAGACTTGCAATCTGCCCTGGACCATTAACTCACATGCTTTTCGTCAAACTTTTTAACTGTATGCATCCTGCATCAAACGAGGGTATTGTAGTTGCTCTTACAGCAGTCAAGATGCATTTCACTTCAGGATGTTTGAGGGAGAAACTTATTTGGGAAATTTCTTTGGGAAGTAGAAATCCCAACTGAATTACATTGTTTTGAATTTCAGAGGTGGCAAATTTTTATTCTCTTTTCAAGTTTCTCCTTCGTATCCACATGAACCACCAAAAGTCAAGTGCAAGACAAAGGTCAAGCATCATCCTTCATTACTTTTCTTAATGCCAAATTATATATTTTCTGCTCATGAAACTATGTTTTATTTCCATGTTTCATGTTAAATCCAGGTATACCATCCGAATATCGATTTGGAAGGGAATGTTTGCCTCAATATACTCAGAGAAGATTGGAAGCCTGTGCTCAACATTAACACCATTGTTTATGGATTGATTCATCTTTTCACGGTATGAATTCAGCGTCTGAGTGCCTAGGAATTACCTGTCTTCTTAAAATGACTCTGACATATTTCAGGAGCCCAATCATGAGGATCCACTCAATCATGAGGCAGCTGCAGTCTTGAGAGACAACCCAAAGTTATTCCAATCAAATGTGAGAAGGGCTCTAAATGGCGGGTACGTGGACCAGACATACTTTCATAGATGCACATAGCACGGTGGCTCCAAGGTTGTGCATTGGTTTCTTTCGTTAAAGATGTGTGCTTGTTAGTTGTAAATCATGATGCTACTACTGGTTATGGTCATCTGCGACTAACTGACTATTGATGTGTACAATAGGTTGGCATTGCTTGCCGGTTTAGACAAGTTTGAAGTTTGAACCCTAAGCTTCTAACTTTCAACTTGTTTGTCATCATTATCCCATTTCTTAAAAGGGTAATACCCTAAATTCGAGTTGGGTTGTGCTACAAGTACACATAGGGTTGCAAAAAGACACTTGCAAACTTGACATTGAGTAAGATCAGTTGGGGATAATAATGATAATGCGGGTCAATTCAGAGTCATGTATATCAATTTCAGATTTAATATTTTGGTTGTTTAATCCAAAATTCAATTGGATAAAACCCGAAAGTAACAAGAACGAGTATGAGATTGTTGTGAATTTTTCAAATTGTATTTTGATCAAAGGTTTCCGGGAGTTTATAGAGTTGCGGAGGAGAAGAAAAGATGTGATCGCGTCTTTTATCTAAGACGCGCGATCCTTCGCGCGAAATTTTGAACAAATTGGTACTATCTTTTAATGAACTTTTCTTTTTAAAGAAAATTCAAAAAATAAAAATTCAAATAAATTTTTTAACATAACAGTCTTTGTCAACCACCAAAGTAGGCTCGGAGAGCAAGATTGACGGTAAAATCGGGTGACAAGAAGGTCTAACAACCCGAAGTGTGCAACAAGGTAAAAGGAGAAGCTTTGATCCACACAACCTTAAAATACAAAAGAGAAAAGTTAGATGCAAATTCACTTCTAAGGATAAAATTATTTATTTATTATTAAAAGGAACCATTTTAATCAAAATGTAGTAAATTTACACTATATTTGGTTCAAGAAATTTGGATGAAAAGAAAAGAAAATTTTTTCCCATCATTTTTTTCACCAAAATAGGAGAAATTTAATTTTCCTTTCTCTTATTACTTTTTGCTTACTCATTTTTTTTCTTTTCTTCTCTAGCGAAACAAGTAAATGTTTTCTTTCTCACATTCTTTTTTTTTTTCATTTCAAATTTCTTGAACTAACATAGTGTTAGAAATAATCTCCTCAATTTTAAATTTGAAAAGAATAAAAAAATATCACGGAGTACTCTTTATTTCGATATGCTATTGAGAAGTATCCAGCAAAATAACAAAATGAGAATCGAAAGCCAATAACTCTCCGCACGCGGCCCCGATCTTCATCCCTTTCCTTCGCTCTGCGCCGCTCGTACGCCGGAGGGAATGACGTCGCCCGGCGCGGGTTCATCGGGACGGATGCCGACGTGGAAGGAGAGAGAGAACAACAAGCGGAGAGAGAGGAAGCGGCGAGCCATAGCCGCCAAGATTTTCACCGGCCTCCGAGCTCAGGGTAACTTCGAGCTCCCTAAGCACTGCGACAACAACGAGGTCTTGAAGGCTCTGTGCAGAGAAGCTGGTTGGGTTGTCGATGAAGATGGCACTACCTATCGCAAGGTAATGATTTCAGTTCGATTGATACTGTTTATCGCTTGTCTTGCATTCCTGATCTCAGATCTTTTGGATAAAATTTGGGGTTTTGATTGCTTAGGAGGAATTGGAATGTGTGGGTTTTCCTAAAATTGATCTTAGATGGGTAAAGATTTATAGGTTTTTTTGTGTCACTGGATCTAGAGCATTGCTCGTTAGGTGTTTGATAGAATTCCTATGAGATTAATCTTAGAGGATCTTTGCCCACTGTTCCCATGACTTCCTTGCTTAAGTCAGTAATCTTTGTGATCACTTGCAATATGCTGACTGCTTCTTTGTGATGATGATCCCTTGATCTCCCGAATCTCCCGTCCCTGAAAGAGGGATATACTTTTTGTATGAATTTCTTTATTAAATGCAGTGTCACAAATTATGATGCAAATTAATAATCTGTTCCGATAGTTTGTTAACCGGGTTTAGCTGTGGATTTTTACTACAGCATCCCTTTAATGGTCATGCATTTTATTTCTTTTTGCATTCTTGAGGAAATTGAATGTGTAAGGCATAGACTTTCTTGAGCTTTTTCTCAATGTGAATGCTAACTGTTCTTATAATTTGTCTTACAGGGGTGTAGACCATCTCCAACTGAGATTATGGGAATTTCGGCAAACATAAGCGAGTGCTCTTCTATCCAGCCAAGCCCAATGTCATCAGCCTTTCCCAGTCCAATACCTTCATACCATGCCAGCCCAAATCGGAGCCCTTCGCGAGGAGGTGATGCCAATGCCCCATCTTACATCCTACCTTTCCTCCATAACCTGACACCGGTTCCATCTTCTTTGCCTTCTCTGCGTATATCCAACAGTGCCCCTGTAACTCCTCCTATATCATCTCCCACCAAAGGTTCAAAGCGGAAACCCTTACTGGAGTCCCTCACCAACAGTTCACTCTATGGTTCCCACCATGCTTTCTTTACCTGTTCTGCACCATCAAGTCCTACAAGACGCCAGCATTGTAAACCTGCTACAATTCCAGAGTGTGACGAGTCTGATGTCTCAACAGATTCGGTTCGTTGGGCCACCTCCCAGACAGGGGTTCCCTTTGTGGCCCCCACTTCTCCTACTTTTAACCTTGTACAACCGTTCTCTCAGCAGATCGTTCCCCTAACCACGGTTAGTGGAGTTGGTGATTTTGATTGGGCTGGAGCAGCTAAAAAGGCACGATGTGCTGAATTTGATTTTGAAAATGGGAGAGTGAAGGCGTGGGAGGGTGAGAAGATACATGATATTGGTATGGATGGTTTAGAGCTTACTCTTGGGAGTGGTAAAGCTCCAGCTTAAGCCTCGTTTAATATGATGGTGGGGTTTATGCCCTAGCATTGGAGACCTAACTGTTAGCACGAAGGTCCTATTTTTAGTGCAACATACTTGACCATCACTATTGAACCCACTGGTTGTTACTTCCACTTCTTATGTGGTCTAAGATGTACTTTTATGCATCCGCTCGGTTGCACGGTAATACATTTACTGTGCTGAGAGGCTCTCTATGTGCCCTAAATGGTTGCTTATGAATGAATGAAACATGATGCTAGTGGCATTGGACTATATCCTCTTCATATTTTTAGTTGCTTGAAGGCCTTTAGGCTGTATGTGGCTCACTTCCAAGTGGCCTTTGTCAAGATTGTTTCTTTATGTCTTGTTGACATTTGTAAATTGTAATGAGACATAGAACTACTGATGCTTTGCTGATAGTTTTCCTCGGAGAACCAACTCTTTAAGAGAATGCATATCGATTGTTGTCACGTTAAGGGCCTCTTTGGTGTGTTTTTGAGGGTTGATATGATACGAGTTCTCCAAAAGAGAATTGTCGGGTGACCAAAAAAGATAGGGGCACTAAAGTCGTAGGCGACCAAAATTGATATTTAGTCATTTTGATTGCTATATGGATTGTTGTTACTTGGTAAGTGAAGTTACACATAGATTCACACTTGAACCTATGACTGTATATACATATTCTTGAAACATTGGGGAAACTTTTTATACACCTAAGTCAACATTACTCTTCAACTTCATATACGGAGTACAAAATTTATCGGTATGAGCTGCACCACCCTAAACCAAAAATATATTTTAGTTCTGAAATATTTTTTTTAACTATTTGGAATTCAGAACACTTGTTTGATATAAAATGTTATTCGGTATAGTTTTTCCTTTGAAATTACCTTTTTTTAAAAAATTTGTGAGCACTACCCCGTTTTGTTCCTACTTGAAAGTATCCTCGATCTAGAATTTCCATAAGCGCCACTGATTCTCCTAATGAGGCCGCACATTTGTTAGCACATGCTCATCTTTCCGTTTAGAGCATTTGCAGGGGGTTGGTTTGTCGTATCACCCGGTTTCATTACCAAGTCTATTTTGGAACAAGTACAAAAAAATATTTTTCGTTACATTTTTTGCTAGCTATTGTGTTAACAGTGGCGGATCCACTTGTTTGGAGTAGGGGGCAAATGCCCACAACTAATTTTATGTAATAAGAATAAAAATATTTTTTTAATAATTTTTATGTATATATATGCCCCAACAAAAATCAAAGTGAACCCATCTAATTAAGCCAAATTTAAATTTTTATTGTTTAATTTTTCTTAGTAGAGTGGTTATTATTGCATATAATTTATTGTTTATAAAATAAAATTTCACCTTACCTATTTAAAAACATTTTACATTTGATAAATATTTGAAAGAAAAATCATATTTATTTATCATTTCAAATAGTCCATAAAAAATTTTTGGGGGCGCTACCCCTGGACCTCCCATCAATGCTGCCCCCATCTACTTCAATTTCTGGATCCGCCACTGTGTGTTAACTTGATATAACTTTCACACGTTTTTCCAAGCATGAACCATTCTCCTTTTATTTAAAGTTTAATACACTCTTTTATGAATGAGTTAATAGACATTATATCCTGTGAAGTACTAATCATGTTCTAAGTAATTCTTTCGCGTGTTAAAGCTCATCTCTTTTAAAACAATTTTATTAACAAATTAGTATATATCGAACTAAGAAATACTCGAGTACAAATTACATCGTCTAAAACAGCATCAAAAAGTTCTACAATACATAGCAGGAACTATATATTATTATATTATACATAGCCTCGGAAACTTTAATACCCCTTGAACCCAAGAGCGACAACATCAATAAGGACCTACTTGACAAGTTTTTGATCACCAATATCCCTACCTCTCCAAATTACTTGCACATAGGCTATATATAGAAGCTGACCCCAAAGCTTATGTTGATCGCCTGAGCAGCTAGGGAGCCTTTCAACATTGTAAAGGCATTGAAGAGCATGGTTCACCTCCTTGCTAAAGAGAGCATTCTTTAATGAAATATTTGCATTAAATAGTACGGAGTACTAAAATTTAATTCATTTTCCTAAGGATAACACTTAAATTGTTTTATTCTCTAAATAGCACTTAATAATGTCCAGAAAGAGGAATAATGTCCAGTGATGGCAAACATTAACTTGAATAATGACTAATAGATAATGACTAAAAGTGCTACATTAGGAAAAAAAACACATATGATGCTATTTAGAAAAAATCATTATGTTTTAGTACTATTTAAGTAAATTTCCCTTCTTTAATATGAGAAGGAAGGGGGGGGGGGGGGGGGGGGNAGAACTATGGATCCTTCTCCTTTAGAAGTGCCTATGAACACAATCACAATCCTAAACAACTCTGATCTCATGCAGCTTTATATGGGATAACATGCAAGTCGAAAAATTTAGCTTTTCACTTACAGCCTTCAATAAGCTCTTGCTTTTTCCAAACTGCCAATTCAAAAATTAAACTTTCACCTACCGTACGTCGAGATGTGAGTTCTGCCATCTCAGTAATTAATTAATTATCAGTTATTTAATTTTGATAGATCTATTTTCGAGGTGCTACAGTTTTGGAATATGTGGATGACATACTTGTTGCAGGGAATAATGGTTCTTTATGTAGATCGTTTACCGAGTTCCTCGATGGTTGCTTTAATCTCAAGGAAGGCATGTCGTTAAATTAGAGAAAATATGTCTTGGATATCATTGAGGAAGCTGGACTTAGTGGTTGAAAGCGCGTCGCTACACCCATCCAACCAGGTCACAATCTCGCTATGTCCACCAGTACTGAGATTCGTGATCCAGCTAAGTATCGTTGCATTGTTGGGCGTTTGTTGTACCTCACTCTGACTCGTCCGGATATTTGTTTTTCAATACACGTGCTATCTCAGTTTATGCAGGCTCCTCATCTAGATCATCTTAATGCTGTTTTGCATGTTCTACATTATCTTAAAGGACACCTTATCTTGGTCAAGGAATTCTTCTCCGAAGTGACAACAATTTTGCTCTTACCGCCTACTCTGACTTTGATTGGATCAGTTATCCTATTACATGGAGATTAGTTACCAGATATTTCATACTTCTAGGAGGATTACCGCCTACTCTGACTTTGATTGGATCAGTTATCCATGACTAATGTTTGTGCTAAACTTTGATGGATCCGTGGATTGCTCGCCGCCCTGTCCGTGCCATACGCCTCTACCCCGAAACTGTACTGCGACAATAAATCTGCTTATTCGCTATTGCCAATCCAGTGTTCCATGAGCGTTACAAACACATTGATATCGATTGCCACATCATTCGTGAGTGTCTTCTACGCCAGCATATTGTCACGCCATACGTTCCCACTCGTCTCCAAATTGCATGTATTTTTACGAAGGCATTCCCCGATCCACTTTTTCGGTTTTTGTTATCCAAATTTGACATTATCGATCTTCATGCTCCAACTTGAGGGGGAGCATTGATGATTAAAGTTCTTCAAGTTTGATTTGAAAAAGTCAAACTGAACGAACACACTAGGACGGAGAATAGAAAAAAATTTGGACCAATGTCATTACTACGATCATGTCCCATTTGATATGGATTCAGTTTCGGTTTAGAATTGAAAAAACCAATCCGGTTTTTTACCCCTAATTTAAAATGCAGCGCTAGTTCTCCAAAGACAAGTTAGTTTTTGAGATCTAAAACTTTACCACACATTTTTACATGCGAAAAATAAATATTTGGACTAATTTCATGACTTTATCAAAATATGTATGACTAATGACTACTTTTTCCGTCCCAAAAAATATTACTCACTTTTCCTTTCGACTAAGTTCAATGGTCACTGCGAGATGCCACTACTATTTTACGGTGTTCTGCTTGATAGTTCCTATCTCCTAGCCCCCTGGTAAACCCTCCACCTAATCCCGACCCCAAACCATTTCTTCACTCATGTTAATTGCACCGTGCAAGTTTAATTGATTTTAGAATTAAAAATTTTGACCTCACAGTCTACTAAATTTGATAAGTGCAATGTACGTTGGTGAAGGATGGGTTGGAGTTGAGACAGGATAGGAGAGTTTACAAAAAAAGGTTATGAGATACGGAGTACAAACTATCAATTTTACGAATGAAACACCATAAATATTTGAATTGGGAGAGTGCCAATGGCTTCCATAACCACTAAAACCCATTTCCTACGTCTCAAAAAAAAAGTTTCTCACTTGCTTTACAGATTATTTATCTAAATAAAACTAAAATATAATAATTTTCTTGTTTTATTTAGTTCTCAACAATGATTGTCGCCCATCTGTTTTGTTTCATAGAGCAATAATCAGTAATCACTTTACTGTTTCTAGCATGGGTTACACTATGCTATTCTATAGTTGAGAAGTGTCCTATAATAAAGTAATAAATCTAATACTCCGTAACTACCCTTCAAAAGGGTAGGTTCTTTTTTATTGCCGTACCAAACAACCCTACCCATGGCAAAGGGAGAACAATTTCAAGTAACAAAAGAATCCAATGACTTTGAAACTAACGTATACTGCAACATGTGTGTCTAAAAAAGAATGAAACATACTATAAACCTTTTAGACAAGACCGCGAAAAGTTGAAAAATATACATTTTGTTCTTTATAATTTAAAAAAAAGAAAAGAAAAGAAAGAAGAGCAACAATATATCTGATGAATAAGTGTGGACTATAAAGGCACCAATCACCAAAGAAAAGGAACAAAGAGATCTGATGAAGAGACCGAACAACGTAAACGAATATCAATTTTGAACCAGTCTCTTTGTAACAGCAGCCATATACCTGCCCTGATGCTCTGCCAACGCAAGCTCCGTTTCGGTGGGTTCCCGTGAGCCGTCGCCGGCGAAAACCCCGGCACCGTAGGGGGTCCCACCCCGGATGGCGTCCATTTTGAACATGCCTGCCCCAAATGTGTACCCGATTGGGACAAAGAGCATACCGTGATGGGCCAATTGTGTGATTGCCGTCCAGCTGCAATTGCGAAACTCAAGTGAATGTGGTAACATACGTAATATTTTAGGTTTCAACCTCCCCTTGAGAATTTATTTGGGGTGAGGGCCAACATAAACAACAAGAACAACAACAACTCAGTTGAATCCCACTACAGTAGGGTCTGGACAATTCCATAAAACATACTCTGTAATCAACAATTCCAAGTAATGAATGCATAGGTTGCATCCTGTATACCTTGGGCTATGTTTAGTTCCGAGATTTGGGTGAACTTCATTGTTCTAAACATGAATAGGTCTTTAAGAGACATTGGTTCTTTCGACATTAGTCACTAATGTCTTTCTATGACATTGGGTTCGTTTGAGGGCCCTATGGTGCTTTGTTCAACCCCAAAGTGGTTCCTTCACCGGGTATCTATCAGCATTTGGTAAGCTTAACTATCAATACAAGTTAGTGCCTATTATCTTTGGTTTCTAAGGAACAATCAACAGCAAGAAGTACTACTCATGAAGCTACCATAAGATCAAACACCAAAGTACTATGAATTAAATGAGATAGACGCACTTAGCGAGTAAAAAAAACAAGGTAAAATTAACTTAAACTAATAATCATAGCACATCATGCATAACGTAAATCTATTATTGCCTAATTGGCGTGTATATAAAATACTCCACAATGTGTCAACAAACGATGCGGCTAGCCAAAGAAAGCAACTACTATATAAACACTTGGTTCAATCTAGGACACTTGACTGTCTCTTAAAACCAATTAAGTTGAAACCAAGGGGTATGAAGGGACCGACCCCAACACTTAGATAGCCAAACCCGGCCTCTCTACTACTTCAGGTAAGCTATGGGTACATTATTGTTTCGTTACGCGTCTCAAAAACAAAAACTAAAATGCTTCTAATGATGATCACAAACATTTAAAAAATGGCATCTAAGTTTAATGTTTTCTTCAAAAAAAGAAAAACTTCCCTATCATTTAAAAAAACTGCCCTTAAGATTGTAATTGAACATTAGACAATAGAGTATGAATGCATGGAATTTATCAACAGGTATAAAATTGAGATCATTCAAAAAAATATGTCTCTAGGTATAATAAATATTTAGTAAGGATTGAAATTTATGGAAATAATAAAAAGAGCTTACGCAGTTGTTTCTTGTCCACCGCCCTGAGTTCCTGTACTGACAAAGAATCCGGCAGGTTTTCCGGCGAGCTTCTGCTCCCTCCATAACTGCCCGGTAGAGTCAAAGAAGGCCTTCATTTGGGCAGCCATGGACCCATACCTCGTCGGGAACCCAAACAACAACCCGTCCGCAGCAACGAGCTCAGCCGCCGAGTCAATGACCGGGATGTCGTCGTCCTTGGGCGGGGCCCGCATTTGGTTGAGAACGTCATCGGAGAGCGTCTCGGGGACTCTGTAAAGCACGGCCTCGACGCCGTCCACGGCGTCCACTCCCTTCTTCATCCTCCTCGCCAGGCCCTCCACGTGGCCGTACATGGAGTAGAAGACGATGAAGATTTTCAGATTCCCAACTGTCGGCTGCGCGGCGGATTCCGAACCAACTGCGGCGGCGGAGGCGGAGCTTGGTTCGCCGGAAACAATGGGTTCCGGCGGAGGAGGAGGTGGTTTGGATCGGTTGCTGGAGTTGGTTCTGCGGAGATTGCCCTTGCTGGGAACGCAGCCGCCGCCTTTCCCCATCAGATCCGATCCTAAATCCTATCCTGAATCTCGATCCAATGTGAAAGAAGAGAAATTTGGGTGGAAGACTGATTGATCAGTGGGGGATTGATGAAAAGGGTTTTATATAGGGAAGAAGATCAAAAATTTCATTTGTGGTTGACCAAGCTTATAAAATGAGAAAGGTTTTATACAGGGAAGGGAAGGAGGGTCATTACAAAAGATAATGACACTATTAATATCTTAAGTACAAAATATCTTTTCCTTCACTATTAATATAATCAAATTGTATTTCTTTGTTATCCATTTGATTAAATAGTTTGGACTTTGGAGTATGATCTAGGGGTGGGTTTGATTTTTGCAGTTCGACTTTCATTCAATCAAAGACAAAACGGAAGTAAAATTGGCGGATCGGTTTTACATAAAAAAATATGTAAACTATTGGTTATTTGATTCAGTTTTATGCGGTTTTTTTGGTTTATTTGCCTAAATAGGACTAAAACATAATGATTTTCTCAATATAGGGCCATATATTTTTATTTTCCAATGTAGAACCCATTGGTCATTATTCAACTAAATGTCCAGCATCACTTGGATATTATTCTTCTCACTAGTCATTATTGAGTTCTATCTAAGAAATAAAAATGTTTAAGTTCTACATTGGAAAATGACTTATGTTTTAGTCCTATTCAGTGCAAATTTCACTTATAAAAATAGAAATTTATAAGCATTGAAAAATTGTAAAAATAGTAACTCGATGAAACAATAACTGCATAACAGTCGGGCCTGAGATTGATGCACTGATTCCTGAACTGTTCGTGGTTTGCCCAAACCACAACAGTTCCAACTTAGAAGGAAGTTAATAAAGCAATTGTCGCTGCCAAATCTTCTCTCCTTCTTTTTGGGTGAGCAGCAACCATCTCTGATAGGATTGTCATTCTCTTTAGCCGCAGCAGATACCTTTCACATTCTGATTCGAAAAAAAAAAGAAGTAAATACCTCGTCCGTCCTAAAACTTTCTTCTCAGTTTGACTTTTCTCCATTTTTAATTTTTGGCTTTGATTTCAAATTTTACCCTCCTTAAAAAAGATTTTTTGAATTTTTTTTGCAATCATTCAAAATATAGAGTTAGAAGATAATTGGTGTAAATACATGAGGATATTAATGTCATTTGTCATCTTTTTTTTCTAAAGGGAAGGTAGTTTTAGAACGGAGAAAAAGGGCAAATGTGAACAAAGTTATAAGACGAAGGGAGTCTCTTTTAACGTGATATTATTTTTGTCATGTTTAGTCATAGTCAAAACTATTTTATTTAGTCATAGTCGTAATCGACAATTTTGTTGTATTGCAAATATTGTATACAAACAAGTGTTACTTAACATTTAGATTATTGTCACTCTAAATAAAATAGTTTTGACTATGACTAAACAATAAGAAAAATTTTCACTAAATAAGATTAAAACATAAGTCATTTTCTAATGTAGGATTTAAACTTTTTTATTTTCTAAATATGATTTAATAATGTCTAGTGGGAGAAATAATGTCAAGTAACGATGGACATTTACTTGAATAATAACTAATTGAAAGTGACCAATGGTCCTACTGTAGAGATATTAGTTGATATTTTGCTATTTTCCCTCCGGTTTGTTAATTTGTTAGAAATTAGTTTCTTTCCAGCTGTACACTTCTGCCAGCTGTCCTTCCCTTCCTATTCCTTTATATACCCCTTTTCTGTACACATTCACGTGAACAATTTGGATCAATAAAATTTACTGTTGCTTTCTTCTTCATCTTTCTTTTGGCTTTCACATGGTATCAGAGCTTCCGCGACAGAAGATCTTCACCGATTGATTCGATCATCTAAAGCTTTCGATCGACATCAATGGCGGAATTAAATAACGAAGAGCATAGAAGCACAGTTCTCGATCCTTATGGGCTTACTGGACAAGATAATCCCGGTTTAGCCCTAACTACATCCAAATTCACAGGAGCCAATTTCTTCGCCTGGAAGAAGACTATCACCATGGCGCTGGGAGCTAAATCCAAACTAGGATTCATAGATGGACCATGTGCTAAACCTAGAGCTACAGACACTAATTATCAGCGCTGGATCAGGACGGATTCTATGGTGACTTGCTGGATTCTCAATTCCATGGTGCCAGAGTTATCAGATTCCTTCCTCTATGTCAATTCAGCTGAAGAATTATGGTCTGAGCTTGTTGAAAGGTATGGACATACTAATGCTCCTCTCATATATCAGACACAAAAGGAGCTTAATGAAATTCATCAAGGTAGCATGTCTGTTTCTGCCTATTTCACAAAGCTCAAGAAATATTGGGAGACTTTGCAAGAACTTAATAACTTTCCTTCATGTGAATGTGGAAAAATGAAGGAATGCTGTTGTGAATACATGGAAAAACTAACTGCGATAGAGAACAGGAATAAATTGATGCAATTCCTGATGAAACTTAATGATGATTATGAGGGAGTTTGTGGTCAGATGCTGGGAACAGAGCCTCTGCCTACCTTGAGCAGAGCATTCTACATAATCCAACAAATTGAAACACAGAGGAATGTCACTCGCAATATTCCAGAATCAGGAGCCTTCTTTGCCAATGATGAAGGTGGCAGAATGTCATCACTCAAAGACAGGAGGGAGGATAAAAGGTTCAAGACAGGTGACCGGAAATATTGCAAACACTGTAAAAGTGAAGGACACCTCTATGAGCAATATTTTGAAAGGATAGGCTACCCTGACTGGTACAAAGGAAAGAAGAATAAGAAATTTGGAAACACAAAATTGGCAGCTCATGTCAATTTAAGTGAAAGGATGGAGGAATCATCTCTGGAATCTCCATTTGAACTCAATGGGAATCAGAATCACAAGCAACAGATAGATCAGGAGTTGGTTTCTGTCATTTGCCATTTATGGGAATCAGAATTACAAGCAACAGATAGATCAGGAGTTGGTTTCTGTCATTTGCCAAGAAGTGATGAGGATGTTTAAAGGAAAAGCTGGACAAGGAGAGTTTCATGAGGCCAACATGGCTTCCACTAGCTTCTCAGGTATGGCACTTGATTCACCCTTTGTACTGAGTAGCTTGAGCACTAATATGGTTGATAAGTGTCATTGGATAGTTGATACAGGAGCGTCTGATCACATGTCTCCTCATATAACTCTTTTCCATAATCTTGTCACTTTGGATAACCCTATCCCTATTACCCTACCTGATGGGACCATTAGAAAAGTGCACCAAATGGGTCAAATTTTTATCAATTCATATTTGACTTTACAAGATGTCCTTTATGTCCCAGATTTCAAGCTCAATTTGCTTTCTGTTGGAAAAATCCTTTCCCACAAATCTTGGTCAGCATGTTTCTTACACAATTCATTCACATTCCAGGACCTTACAACTAAGAGGATCATTGTTTCTGGAGCTGGATGCAAAGGACTTTATACCCTTAGAGTTTCTTCTTCTCATATGAGCAAAGCAGCTTCACCCTCTTTTGATTCCATAGACAACCACTGTTCCATTCCTGTTTCTCTTTCTTCCATTGTCAAAGTATCAAATAAAGAAGCTTTGTATAGACTTCATGTGAGATTAGGTCATACATCTTTGTCAAAACTATGTCACATTGCTGATTGTAACCCTTTGTCAGTAAATAAATTTGTCTGTGATGCTTGTTCCTTAGCAAAAATGCACAGATTACCTTTTCCAAGGCACAACATTACTGATTCTGTATCTCTTTTTCATTTAATTCATGTGGATTTGTGGGGGCCTTATAGAAAACCAGCTTTAAATGGGGCCAAACACTTCTTAACAATTGTTGATGATAAATCTAGAGCAACTTGAACCTATCTTCTACACAATAAAGACCAAGTTTGTTCCATCTTACAAACCTTCTTTCACTATGTTCAAAACCACCATCACACCCAACCTAAATATGTCAGGAGTGACAATGGAACTGAGATCATCAAATCTGAATGCCATAACCTTTTCTCAAACCTGGGCATTGTCCACCAGAAAACCATGACTTACACTCCTCAACAAAATGGGGTGGTTGAAAGAAAACATAGGCATCTTTTAGAAACAGCCAGAGCTTTAAGATTTCATGCTAATTTACCCATTGTCTTCTGGGGGGATTGCATACTTGCTGCCACATACCTCATAAACAAAATGCCCATGGCCAAATTATCCTGGAAAACACCTTTTGAAACCCTATTTGGTCACACTCCTAACTATACACATCTTAAAACCATTGGATGTTTGTGTTATGCCAAGGTGACATCCAATAATGCCCATGACAAATTTGCCCCTAGAGGAAGAAAATGTATTCTTTTAGGTTATCCTGCTGATCAAAAGGGTTACAAACTGTTTGATCTCAACAGCAAAACCAGTTTCCTGAGTAGGGATGTGATTTTCCATGAAGATGTTTTTCCTTACAAAAACAATTCTTTGTCTACAGACACAACTCCTGAGTTCTTCTACCCCAGCTCTTTCAATCTTACAGATGATGACAATATGTCATCAATCTTACCCCAGGTTGACAACATGACTTCCTCTAATTCTGAATCAGAAACCTCAAACAATTCCCTTAGCCTTCCTAATGAGCAATCATTCACTGGTCCCCCTATTTCTGAACCTCTCATAATCTCTCATGATTCTCATTCCCTGCCTACTTCTAGACCCAAAAGAGCTGCCAAAGTTCCTGCCAAATTTTCAGACTATGTTTGTCCCACTATTCCTCATAATTCACAAATTCATTGTTCCACCGCTCATCCCCTTTTTTCTACCACCACATTACCCTCTTCTATTCCTAACACCACCAATTTTCTAGCTAATGTATTAACTATCCATGCACCCACCACTTATGCTCAAGCTAAGCAGGACCCAGGTTGGGTCAATGCCATGGCTAAGGAGCTTGATGCTCTTGAAACTAATTGCACCTAGATTCTAACTTCTTTACCCAAGGGTCATAAGGCCATTGGTTCTAAATGGGTGTACAAGATCAAATACAAACCTGATGGTTCTGTTGACAGACTAAAGGCCCGGTTGGTGATCAAAGGATACAATCAAAAGCTTGGAAAGGATTACAAGCACACATTTTCTCCTGTTGCTAAATTTCCAACTGTTCGAGTGATCATTGCTTTGGCTGCTTCTTTTGATTGACCTCTATACCAATTGGATGTTAACAATGCATTCCTCCATAGCCATATTGATGAAGACATTTACATGCTTCCACCAGAAGGATATACTGCAGCACTTCCTGGTCAGGTTTGCAGGCTTCAGAGATCTCTCTATGGCCTTAAACAAGCATCTCGCCAATGGAACTTGGAAATCAGCCAATTTTTAGTCACACAAGGATACATACAGTCCAAACAAGATTATTCTATGTTTGTCAAAAGGGAGGGTTCATCATTTACAGTTGTCTTGCTTTATGTTGATGACATGTTGCTCACTGGCACTTCTCCTTCTGAAATTTCAGCCCTCAAATCTGCTTTACATGAAAAGTTCACCATAAAATACTTAGGGATTGCCAAATATTTCCTAGGTATGGAAATCAGCTCTACTAAGGATGGACTTCACCTCAATCAACGCAAGTACATCCTTGACATATTGTCTGATGCTGGGTTAACAGGTACCAAACCTGCCAAATTCCCTCTCCCACAGAATTTAAAGCTTTTTTCTCAATCTGGTTCCTTACTTCCAGATCCTGAACCATATAGACGTCTTGTTGGCAGACTTCTATATCTTGGTCTTACTAGGCCTGACATTTCTTATGCTGTTCAGCATTTGAGTCAATTTCTTACTGCTCCCACTACTCTCCATATGCAAGCTGCTACCCATGTCCTTCGTTACCTTAAAGGGACAATAAGCCATGGATTACTTTACCCCATCCAACAAAAGCTTCAGTTGACTGGATTTTCTGATGCGGATTGGGGATCTTGCCTCATGACACGTAGATCTCTTACTGGTTACTGCATTTTCTTGGGTCATGCTTTAGTTTCTTGGAAAACAAAGAAACAACAAACTGTCTCCCGATCTTCCACTGAGGCAGAGTATAGGAGCATGGCAGCTACCACTTGTGAACTCTTGTGGCTGAGTTATTTGCTTCATGATCTTCATATTGCAGTCACTTTACCCATCACCATGTTCTGTGACAATAAAGCTGCTCAACAGATTGCTGCCAATCCTTGTTATCATGAGCGAACTAAGCACTTTGATATTGATAGCCATATCACAAGGGATAAAGTGCAGGAAGGCTTCTTGCAAACTGCTTATGTCCCTACTCAGTATCAGCTTGCCGACATTATGACAAAGCCTTTAGGTGTTTCGCCCCATGCTACCTTGTCTGCCCAGTTGGGCCTTCAACCGGCTCCAACTTGAGGGGGGGATGTAGAGATATTAGTTGATATTTTGCTATTTTCCCTCCGGTTTGTTAATTTGTTAGAAATTAGTTTCTTTCCAGCTGTACACTTCTGCCAGCTGTCCTTCCCTTTCTATTCCTTTATATACCCCTTTTCTGTACACATTCACGTGAACAATTTGGATCAATAAAATTTACTGTTGCTTTCTTCTTCATCTTTCTTCTGGCTTTCACACCTACATCGAGAAATAAAAACATATGATCCTATATTGATAAAGTCATTATTTTTTAGTCCTATTTAGGTAAATTTTCTCTAAACATAAATCTTTCAGAGACAAAAATAATATTACACGTTAAAAGATTTGTCTTTACTTCTTTTTCCTGATTAGAATGTAAAAGGTGTCTGAATTATATATAATATTTACTTTAATTATTTTCATAATCATTAATTTTTAAAGAATTCATTGATAGTGCATCACAAGGGTACATAATTTCAAAAGTAAGAATATGCATATTTTGCTCATAAATTTTCAAAATACATGTAGCATAAAATTGGTTTTAGAAGTTAACTCTTTGCAGAATAAAGACCAATATTATCCACAAAACATGGGCTAAGGAACATTTACTAAGGACGGAATATATGAAAGCGATCCGATTTCTTAATGGTTTTCTGGGTATTAGCATATTGGGCCGTCACCTAATATGGTTTTCTGGTTTTCTGGGTATTACATTCCTTACGGGGTAGATGGATGTATCAGGCCTGAGAAGTTGTAAATATTTGGCCAGAAGAAATTAATTGAATTGGGCCGTTATTCAATATCTGCACCACTGCCCCCATTCATTTAGTCCCACCATTAAAAATGGATTTTATATGAAAATTATCTAAGACTAATCTCAATTTTATTCGATCTTTTAAAAATAATTTCATGTTTTTTATGCCTCATAAAGATGTTCTCATTTTGATTTTAATAAAATTTAATGTTGAGATATTTTGTGCTGACTTTCTAAAAATAACTTTGATATGATAGATAAAAGTAAGACATGATGAAAAAATTATTAGTAAAAAAAAGTATGATGTGACATTTAGGTTATGAATTAGTAAGGTAAAATTAGTTTTTTAATAGAAAAGGGAAAGACTTTGTGGGACAAGAAAAAAAAGAAGAAGCCTTTGGAACGGAGGGAGTACTTTACTATAACAATTCCAAATTTACTAAAGTTTGTGAATTTTGGGTCTGTCTTTAGATTATTACTTATTAACGGCTGGTTAACGGAAACGGCCTGCTTTGCGTAGCAAAATGAAAGTAGAGATTAATTTTGATGAATTTTTTTAAATTGAAATTTTCAAATGATTTTTTAAAGTGACTTTCTACCTCCATAATTTCTTTTTTCCTCTTTTAAAGATTAGTCTAACTTTGGCAAAAATATAAAATAGATATAGAAAATATCAAATATGAGAAAAATAAATAAAATCATACAAAATTTATGAAATAAATGAAATAAGGTAATCAATAGAAATGAATAATGTGAAATTGGTAAGAAGTAAAATGAAAATATACAGAGTGACAGATTTTAACATTTTATGCACTATATAGAGCATTAACGCGCAACTTCTTCATATGAATATCAAATTGGACGAATGCACTGTAACAGAACAAGATAGAGAAGTGAGTATGTTGCATAAATTGCTAACAAAGCATTTTCATAATTTTGACTTATATGTTACATTTGATATATAAATTTGAGGTCGCCGCCCTCGTGGAGACAGCTAACGAAGCAGAAGAGTTTGAAACAAAATTTGGTGGGGATAGGGGCGCCGATGTGGATGCATGGGGACAGGGAGCATGCATGTGGCCCTGTTCCTGGGAAAGGGGGGTGGGGATACTATATATCCTGTCTGGTTTGGTTAGGCATCTAATTACAAAGATAAGAAATTTGCAGAAATGGGATTATATGGGCAATTTGGGATATTATGATAATGCAAAAAAGACTAATAAGTGTAACAATATATACAATTTGTGGCAAGTTAATTTAGGGGCAAGGAAGGCATGGAAAGTGCAATGAGAGTTCTCTTTTAGACATTATTTTTGGCACCCCAAAGTACATTCACTTCAATTGAGGCATGCATGACAATCCACCTTTCACATGCATACTTATCTCTTCTATAATCAAATTGCCTTAAAGTAAAAAAACAAAAACAAAAAGGTGTTTAAATGTATTTAGAATAAATGAATTAATTGTTTTTTAATTTCTTTTTAGTGTTCTAATTTTATTGTACGGAGTACAATTTTATATTAAAATACAATAAACAAATGAGTTTTAATACGGAGTAATACCTTGCAAACAAATTGTCCTCCTAATATAAAGCACAGTAATTTGTTTTTGTATGAGTTAAATAAAAAACAAAACTCATTAATTGTTGCCTTTGACTTTGACTATTTGTTCAGTTTTGACCTTTTACAGTTAAAATTGATGAGTTTTTACCATTAATTAAACCAAATTGATATTAGATATTGATACAAAAATAATATTATTAGATATGCTTCATATAATACTTTTTTCAAAATATTATTTTATTTAAATTTTATTTAATTATAGGCCGAATTTTGCATATGATTGACTAAAAAGTCAAAAACAGACAAAGACTCAGATACAGATGTAATATGTTGTATTATGTCACACAAGCTAGGGTGTATTTGGAAAATGACTTTTTAACCATCTTTTAGCCTTTTTGACCGACTTTGACTTTTTTTATTTCTCTAAAGACCAAAATCATTGTTGGACAAATGAGATTTTCAATTGGTTGTGATGCTATAATCCATACCCAGGTTGAACACTAAAAAAGAGACCGGTATTTTTTTAAAAACTCTGTATAGTTTTAAAAGTGGACAAATGGGACAACTAAATTCAATTGGAGAAGCCATAATAAAAAAAAAATGGAGAATATTAGTGCATAATTAACTACAAACCTAACCCTTCAACTTTTGAAACGGCTTTTTTCTTTTACTCAAAAACAGAAACTCATAGAACTGAACGGATGCAATGTATATACCATATTGAGATATTTGGTATTGAGATAATACAACGTGCCACTATTTATGGGTTTGGGTGTTTATAGCATAATATGTCTCAAATGATTTAAATTTGAATAAAATGATTGAATAAAATATAATATGGATTACCTTTATTACTATTAGTTTATTATTACTATTAAACAAAATTGATACTTTAATATTCAATACGACCCAAAGTAATTGTAGAAATTAAAGATTAATTTTCTTGATTGAATATGTGGGTGTACATGTGTTTATATAGATACATGGGATTCCTATTCCTATACAAGGTAGGAGATAATAATAGGAAACAATATATTTACATTAAATATAGAATATATTTAACAGTAATGTCTCATCCATAACATAACAGTTCATAAATTAGTAATTACAATTGCTTCATCCTTTATTGTAAATTCTTGTTTCATTAATTGTGGCATACTCCGTATGTAATTTCGTAGGGGAAAAAAACAGTGAAATATATATAGTGAGGGCCGTGAAAATAGATCAAATTTGTCTCGGTTACGTAGTGTATGTGTAAAGTACATATACTCCCTCCGTCTCAAAAAAAATGACCCAGTTACTATTTTGGTGTCTCGATAACTTTTGTGTGTTTACTCATTTTAGTTGACCATTTGATAAAAATAAATATTAAGTTCGCATGCATCCTGTTTTGTTAATTTTTTGATGCATTTTTAAACGATATAATTTTTACTTTTTATTTATCTTCCAGTTTGTAATTAAACTGATTTTAAAAGAGATAATATTTTATATATTTTTCGAAATGTTGCAAACAATTCGAGACATGGGAGATTCATTTTTCAAAAATTAAAACCTTGAAATAAATGCTCCATCCACTCATCAAGGTTTGTGAACCCTCTTCATGTGCCATTTGCATATTCTTCCATTGATACAAAACAACAAAAGTTGTTTTCTTTATTTCATCAAATTCTTTAGATTATGTTTGGTTCAAAAAATTTGAAAGGGAAAAAAAATGAATAAGATGAAATACAATTTTTTTTGTTTGACTAGTAACGGAAATAAAAGAATAGTGGAAAGAAAAAAAATAAAAACAAAACAAAATGAGCTAAGAAGAGCAATTTCTTTCCCCATTTTAGTGAAAAAATGTGTGAAATTATTATTTTACTTCCTAATTCTTTGAATCAAACATTTGGTCAGAAAAAAAAAAAATAAGATCAACCAAATATGTACTTGTGTCCATCCTTATCCAATGTTACCACCTTTGGGAATCACTCTCCCTCCAAACTTTATAATCGTGTTTGGAGTTTGGTTATTTTATGGCAACTTTCTTACCTTTTAGTCCTGGGTCAAGCAAGATATATATGACTCCCACTTAAAAACTTATTTGATCCTCATAAATGTATAAATAAATGGCAGGTTAAATGTGTTGTACCTTTGTTGATGAGTATTTGAGTTAGAGGATCAACCGAATAAAAAACTTGAGTTTACATAAATATCCACGTTGTTGTTTAACATTTGTTGAAAGAAGCTGATTGACATTTCTATCATTCAATGGATGGTATTTTAGAAAAGGGTAATTTACCTAAATAGGATTAAAATATAATGACTTTTTTAATATAGGACCATATATTTTTATTTTCCAATGTAGGACCATTGGTCATTATCTATTAGTTATTAGTCAACTAAATGTCTAGCATCACTTCAACATTATTCTTCTCACTAGTCATTATTAAGTCACTTGGAATCTCTGAAATGCGTGTAGTCACTTTCAGATTGAACAGTTTGTTGGTTCACACGAATCTTTCAATCGGATAAAATCTAGAAAATTAAGAACAAAATATAAAGAAGTTGTAATATATGATTTTCGAACCTCTACCTGATGATCAAACTTGCGAGAGGCTTTATAGACGCGGGAAAGGGATGAAGAGTTGTTGTTTGTGACTTTTTCCATTGATCGCGCCTAATTGCGCGAAATAGAGGGACACACCTCATCGAATTTCGTTAAGTTCAAAGTCCAAAAATAAAAAGTTCAAGCGAATTTTTAATATAGCACTTTGTCCAAACTAGGAATGTAAACAAATCAAATACTTTAAATTTGATTCGTGATTCAGATTCGAATATGATGAATTGAATTTGCATTATTCAAAAACAAATTCAAATTCATATATTAGTTTTGATTTGAATATTAAACAAATACAAATACTATACAAATAGAGGTGTATTCAATTTGGGTGATATTCAAATATATTTATATACACGGACCTTGTTATCAATATCACTATTCAAGCAAACTAATATAGTATAAAGTGCATTTAAATTACTAAGATTTCACCATTTTAGTGTAACACAAAAAATTAAAGCATGTGATTTTTGATAGTTGCTCCCTCTGTTCCAGAGTATTTGTCCACCTTTAACTTCTTTTGATCAAAGTTTATACAATTTGACCCAAAATTAAATAAAAATGATATTAGATATTGATACAAAAATAGTATTACTAGATTAATTAAATAAATTTTTTTCAACATATTATTTTATATAATGAATATACAATATATATTTTTATTTAATTATAGGTCAAAAGTAAAAAATAATTGAATGAAAAAAAGTTAAAACTGGACAAATACTCTGGGATGAAGGTGGTATATTTTATAAAATATAATCTGTGTAAGACGCAAATGTAATAATATTTTTAGATATGGTATAAGAAATTTTGTAAATTAAATTATTCAAATTCAACATATAAATTACGGAGTATGATTATTCAAATATTTGTTTAGGAATTGTTAACTATTCAAATATTAATCAAATACAAATACAAATCTTATTTTTAAGTCGTTTCGTATTAGTATTCGGATTTGTATTCGAAAAATTTCAAAAAATACAAATTCAAATATTACGATATTCGCTTCGATTCGGTTCACTTACAACCCTAGTCCAAACGACCCCAGCCAGGGACTCTGCCTCTTAGACCCGGCCCGCAGGGGCTGCAGCCCCTTGAACACTGCTCTCGGAGGTGCTACCCCCGAACTCCCGCCAAGGGGGCGCCTCCCCCCTTGAAACTCTGTTACATAATAAGGGGTTAAACAAATTTTTTATCATAACAAATCCAAAGAAGTGTAAATTTTGCACCACCAAACTTTCTTAATGATTACTGTAGTATTATGATAACATTGTCAAATAGTTATTTCAATTATTACTCTAAAATATATAGAACATGGTATATTTGTTTACTTTCTTTGTCTTTTATTTTTATTCTCACTTTGATTTTTATGGTCAATGTCTTTAGATTTTGACTACAAAATACAAAAAAAAATAGTGCATTGTGATATAAATTTAATAACAAAAGATTTACCATATTTTTTTATTCTATCACAACGAAAATTCTTTCGATAAGCAAAGAAAAAGTCCCCACGTTTTTTTCATAAAATGTCACCGCTAGATCCTATTGCTCCTAACTTTTCCCTTTCTAAACGAGTATTGCACCATGACCCATGTTGGTTTGGTAAATGTGCACCATTATCTTATATGGTTTCAAAACTTATGTTGTTACTCCTCATGGTTTTGATATTGCTACGTCAATGCCCCTCTACACTAAATTATTCTTCAAATATTATGAGAAAAGCTCTACCCCCTTATGATTTTGGAAATTGGCACAAATGCCACCTCTTTTCAATTCTTTATTGTTTTTTTCTACTATTTTTTTCATAAATGTTTTTCAATTTCTTTTTAAGATTTTTAATGATGTTTTAATAAATATTTTTTTTATGTTTGCGATAAAAATCGATTAAACAACAAGAATTAATGTACACTTCATTTGTCTCAAATTAAACATTTTCATTTTTGTCCAAAAGATATCTTTATTATTGGTTCATTTTCGTTACATGAAAATCAATGAAATATTCTCTTTTTTAATAAAGTTCATTTCTCATTCTCATTTTCTGTTAAATAAGTTTATGTCGTTTCTTTCATTTTAATAAAAATTTAAATAAAAGAAAAAAATAGATATGAAAATAAACAAAAAGAAAAGTATATGAAAAAAATACTTTTATAGAATAGGGAAACTTAAGTCATGAAGGAAATCTTTTGCGCACAAAAAAAAATTACTAAAATATAATTAACTATGTACTAAAAAGATGTTACTCAGTATTCTTTTGGCTACAACATATTCAAAAAGATAAAAACTTTTTTAGACAAAAAATGAAAATATTTGATTTGACAAATAAAGTATATGTTAAATTTTTTATTTGAAACACAAACGTGATAGAAATGAGGCAATAACTCCAATAAGACATCTGGACTAAACCACATTAAAAGATTGAACCCCCTCGATTACTTAGTTTAACTCAAGAGCTTATATACACATCATGTTTCTCACACTTTTCCGGTGCGGGATACTCGTTAACACTCCCCCTCAAGTGGACGACCAAGTCATTTTGAATTTAACCGGTTGACTACTTGCAAATGAACTTTCATCCCCTTGATTTTTTTTGAGCGCCAACACCTTAAGGACCACGAGTTGCTGAGTATGGACTTCCAAATGAGCAGTCGTGTTAAACAGGCCACAGGCCGTTGGATGTATACTCCATACGGATAACTGGGCTAAAGACAAACACGCCGCTAGGAATGGATATGGAGTATACTCCGTTGGGTGTGTACTCCATACGAATGTCTAGACGGACACCTTGACAAACGAGGTAGGCCAAAATCTACTCCGATACCATGATAGAAATTAGGCAATAAGACACTTGGGCTGAACCACATTAAAATATTGAATTCAATCGATTACTTAGCTCTACTCAAGAGCTTATATACCCATTATTTTACTTACATTTTTCCGATGTGGGATTCTCTTAACAATTGTTGATAGTTTACGTTCATACTTTCTCGAATCTGTCAATTGTTGGAATTTTTGGCATTTTAATTGGCATTAAATGGACCAATTTGGGTATATTTGTCAATAGGTCCACTAACGGTTTTAACCGTTTATTAATGGACGTGTGTTCTCTTAAATGAGATAAATGTTTGACAATTTATACGCCAAAAATGGTAGAGGGTGAATGAGAAATTGATTCTCAGAGTTAACCCGTTAATAAAAGAATATGGTGAGGATTGCAATTTTTGCAATNATTATAAATTCAGAATTTTATTTATTGTTTATTTCCGGGGCCGTTCATCTTCCCCGTCCGTTGTAATCCGTACAAAAATTGTAACAATCTTAAGGTAGTAGTCATATCCGTGCGCAATGGCGGGTATGGACGGATTCGGTTTTGACGCTCACACCGGAAACGGGAGTAGTTCCGAGACTCCGGTTGTGAACGTTTCGGCTGGATTGGGTGGCTCTGTTGGGCAGGCCACTTCGATCACCACCTTCGTTGGATCGAGCGCGACTATGGGGTCCGCTCCGGTTACCTCGGTTATTGGACCAACCGCGGCTACGGCCGCAATGGTCACCCCACTCGGACCGAACATGGCTTCGGCCATACCGGTCATTCCCTCACTTGGACCGAACACGGGTGTCTTCACATCCGCACCGGTCGGACATCCTATTGTCATGCTGCCTGCAAACTCTGTCAAAGAACCGGCAAAGTTCACAGGTGTTGGCTTTAAAATATGGCAGCAAAGGATGTTATTTTGGCTGACCACCCTCAACCTTGCAAGGTACTTGAGGGAGGATCCCCCTATTATGGGGGAGAACGCGGACGAGCCAACAGTTCAGGCTAAAGAGGCATGGATAGCGAATAACTATACGTGCCTTAATCTTATCCTGAATTGCTTGAGCGATGCCTTATATGCTGTTTATAGCAGGGCTGCATCCGCAAAGGAGTTATGGACTACACTGTCCAACAAATACCAGGCCGAGGACGCCGGTGCGAAGAAATTTGTTGTCGGTAAGGTCTTGGATTTTAAGATGGTGGATTCCAAACCCGTGGTCAGTCAAGCTGAAGAATTGATTCTCATTTTTAATGAGTGCACTGACGAGGGAATGGGAGTCAGTGAGGCATTCCAAGTGGCGGCGATTTTTCATGTGCTCCCGCCAGCTTGGGATGAGTTCCGAAGCTATCTCAAGCTCAAACGGAAAGAAATGACTTTAGAACAGTTGCTTGTTCGTCTCCGGATCCGTGAAGAGGGTCTCACTCACGAGAAGAAAGTAGCTGTTGCTAAGGCCAATGTGGTGGAGCATCCATCCAAAGAGGGTTCTTCCAAAGGGCCCAAGCCGAATAAGGACAAGAAGAAGATTGGTCCTAAAGGAGGCGTCGTGAAGCCCAAGTTCGCTGGAAAATGCTACAACTGTGGCATTACGGGCCACCGTTCTTCAGAGTGCCGCAAGAAGCCTCAGAAGAAGAAGCAAAAGAAGGAAGAAGCTCTCTGCTCGGAGCTAGATGCCATGGACCTTTGTGCTGTCGTGACAGAGGTCAACCTGGTCGGGTCTAACCCGAAAGAGTGGTGGGTTGACACCGGAGCCACTCGTCATATCTGCTCCAATCGGGCCATGCTCTTTGACTTTAAGAATACTTCTGGCGACAAGGTGTGGATGGGCAACTCCGCCCAATCCGAGGTTCAAGGCGTGGGCAAAGTTAAGCTCAAGATGACATCCGGCAAGGAGCTCACACTGAATGATGTGTTGTATGTGCCAGACATACGGAAAAACTTGGTGTCAGGCTCACTATTGAACAAACATGGATTCCGCATGGTGTTCGAGTCTGATAAGCTGATCTTGAGCAAAAAGGGAATATTCATAGGCAAAGGTTATATTTCTGATGGGCTTTTTAAGCTTAATGTACTCACTGTTGTTGAGAAAATTAATAAAACTCCTGTTGCCTATGTTTGTGAGTCCTCCAGTGTGTGGCATGGAAGACTAGGACATGTTAATTATGCATCTCTTCAGAAATTAATTAACATGGAATATATTCCCAGGTTTGTTATCGACCAGTCCCACAAATGTGAGACGTGTGTCGAAGCAAAGTCAACGCGAAGTTCGTTTCAAACAATTGAGCGAACCACTCAGCCACTGGATTTAATTCACACGGATCTGTGTGATTTCAAATCAACGCCTTCAAGAGGTGGTAACAAATATGTTATCACTTTTGTCGATGATAGCACGAAGTATTGCTATATTTATTTACTTAAAAGTAAAGATGAGGCGTTGGACACTTTCATTCGGTATAAGAATGAAGTAGAAAATCAACTCAATCGCAAAATTAAAGCGATTAGGAGTGATAGGGGCGGGGAGTACGAAGCTCCATTTGCCGAATTGTGTGCACAACATGGAATTGTGCATCAGGTAACTCCGCCATACACACCCCAATCAAACGGTGTGGCGGAACGGAAAAATCGCACTCTCAAAGATATGATGAATGCGATGTTGC